TATATATATATATATTTATATATTCATCGAAATATACGCCACAGAGGGTTCATTGAGGTGCGGAAGCTAGGCCCCAAACAGTCAACTTTAATATATTTTAATGGGGACCAACAGTGAGGTGGAGGTGCTTCTCCAGCCGGGCAATGCGTTCGGCGCGGACTACAGCACCATGGGGGTGCGGCGCACGAGTCTCAGTCCGACGCCCAACGAGAAGGCCGCTATTCAGCAGGTCCTCACTGCCACAGAGGAGCGACGGCGACGGGAAACAAAAGTGCTCTACAGCGCTCTCTTCTTCTGCTTTGTGTTCATGGTGGTCGAGTTTACCTCTGGCATCATTGCCCACTCGCTGGCCCTCCTCACGGATGCGTCCCATCTGTTGATCGATGTTGGGGCCTATGGGTTGAGCATCATGAGCCTCAAAGCCGCGTCGAGGATATCGTGCGGAAAGTACAACTACGGCTGGCACCGCGCGGAGGTGATTGGGACGCTTGTGTCAGTGTTCTCCATCTGGGCGCTCGTGGTCTGGATCTCCATTGAGGGGCTGACACGAATATGGGACGGGGTGGAGTGCAGCCGCATTCCCGCGTTGGTGGGGCATGAGCAGATGCAGCAGCACGGCACCGGCAGAACCTCGGTGGAGGTGGCCTCAGGAAGGATGTGCAGGGAGATCGACTCTGTCCTCATGCTGCTCGTTGGTGTGTTAGGGATGGTGGTGAACATTGTGTGCGCGGCCATCCTGTACTACGGTGGCTCACATGGCCACAGCCACTTTGGTGCGCACGGCCACAGTCACGGGGAGGCAGAAGACGACGAGGAACATCACGGCCACGACCACGCGCACGAGCACAGTGGTCACAGCCATGCCCACAGCCACGATAGCGATGCGCACGATCACGACTCACATGGCCACAGCCACGGTTCCGACAATGGAAAGAAGAAAAAAGGTTTCGCCGTTCATGCGGCGCTCCTGCACGCGTTGGGGGATTGCATACAGTCCGTTGGAGTTATCATTGCGGGTGCGTTTATATATTTCATGAATCGATCTGCCTTTGGTGTGCCGTCGTATAAATATTCCATCTACAACCTTGCGGATCCATTGTGCTCGCTCTTCTTCGCTGTCGTCACGCTCAACATGACGCGGCCGCTTCTTGGCGACCTGTTGGGTATTCTCATGGAGACCACACCGCCGGGCATTGATTACAGTGAACTCAACAAGACGCTGCTGAGTATTGACGGGGTGGTGAGTGTGCACGACCTTCATGTGTGGTCTCTCTCCTCGGAATACACGGCCCTTTCTGTCCATCTGGTCGCCGATGAGGCGGAGACAACGCTACGTAAGGCGCAGTACGTTTGCGAGGTTCTCTTTGGCATTGGGCATACGACCATTCAAGTGGATACAGTGGCAAACGGCGCAGACCTCTGCCAAGCGTCGTGTGTGAGTCCGACCACAACGATGAGCTACTAACGGCACAGATCACTGAAACTAGGCACCGGCGATGTCTAGTTGCAGCACACGTCTATATAAAACCACATAAGCTGTAAAGATGCGTGGATGTAACCTCCTTTTTGTGATTATTATTACTGTTGTTGAGCACGTGATGGCGTTTATCGCGCAGCTGCAGGGTGAATTGCTTGTGGGGAGAATAAAACAAAGGAATCGCTAGAGGATTGGGGCTGATACGTTGCCTTTGCATATGCATTCCTCAACTCTGGTTTGTTCTTCCCATACCCCGTTGTTTGTTTGTTTGTTTTTCGCTCACGCTAGGCGGAGAAGGTGACATAACTTGACGGCCACCGTGGGTGGCGCCCACACAAACACACACACAGAGAGAGAGAGAGAGAGAGGCACAACGTGCACACGTTGCGTTAATCGGTAGACGCTACTCTCTGCCAGCGTTTTTTTTGTTAGTTTTGTCTTTGGACGCAGCCGTTTCTTGCCGTGGCATATGATTCCTCTGGTCGTTGACGAGTTGACGCCGTACCTGCGGCGGCGCATCCCGCTGGCGTTCGCCTGCGCCTCCCCAACGGCGCGACTCGCGGCCGAGCAGCGTCTCCTCTACACCGGCCCGTGCGGCCACATGGCTGGTCTTGAGAACTCTGGCGTCGTCGTGGGCGATGCGACGGTGTTCGTTGTGTGCCGTGCAGACGCACCGCGGCGATACGTGAAACTGCACCTCTGCGCGACAGCGACGGAGACCGTGCTGCTGCGCATGGCCTGGTGGCTCAACAGGCCGGTGCGTGGGCGGCCGCCGCGCCTCTCCGTGTTACTCGGCCTCGTGGTGCAGTTGAGCAACGCGAGTCTGCTAGCGCTGCGCAGGCTGCAGTGCCTCAGGGAGGTGCGCGTGTCGCAGTGCAGTCGCGCCGCCGGCCATGACACCTTTCTCGGCGTGCCGTCGCTCTGCAAGATTGATGCGTCGTACACTGCGCTGAGCGAGGATGGGGGCCTGCAATTCAGTCTTCACGACGCGTGGCGCACGCTGGGCTTCCTCTATCGCCGCGGCTTCAAGCGGGTCCTTGGCCTTCCCGTCGCACCGTCGCTGCGAAAGATTGACGTGGCCTTCACCGAGCTGACGGACGACGGGGTCGCGCGGCTCGCGGAGTCGCGGAGCCTGCAGGAGGTGTGCTTGGCTGGCTGCGTCGGCGTCACCAACGTGAGCCCCATCGCTGGCATCGCCACACTGGAGCGGGTTGATCTCACATCATGCGTGGAGCTGACAAATGACGGCATAGCGGCGCTCGGCATGAGCAGCAGCCTTCGCGAGTTGCTTCTGACGTACTGCAGGGCCATCACAGATGTCAATCGCTTGGCCCCGGCACCAAGACTGTCGATTCTGCGTCTGGCTCACACGAAGGTGACACGGGCAGGAATTGCGGCGCTTGGCAACAGCATGTGCTTGGAGGTGCTGGACTTGAGCAACTGTAACGGCGTGACGCATGTGGGACATCTGGCCGATGCGGCGTCTCTCCGCGTTTTGGATGTGTCCTGCGGCAAGTTGAGCAATGAAGGTCTTGCCGGACTGCAGCAGTCAGTGAGCGTGAAGATATTGCATCTGTCTCACAGCCCTCTGCGAGACATATCTTCCCTACAGCACATGTCGCTGCAGGAGGTGGACCTCAGCAACACCGACGTTTGTGATGAAGACATGTCCGTTCTGGTGACTCTTCTGGAGCTGCAGCGGCTGCATTTGCGGTATTGCGACCGTGTCACCTCCATTGGTGCCCTCGCAGCCCTCCCCATGCTGCAGAGCATTGACGCAACCTCATCTGCAGTTGGGGACGCTGGCATTGAGGCTCTGTACGCCGCCCCACGACTTGAAGAGTTGCAGCTCTCGTACTGCGTCGGCATATCAGATGTGGGCGTCTTGGCTTACTGTCGCGCTCTGAGGCTTCTACACCTTGGCGGCACTAATGTGACGGACGAGAGTGTCGCACAGCTTGCGGCCAGTGTGAGTTTGTCAGCTATTGTTCTTAGCCGATGCCGGCACCTCAGCGACATCAATGCTCTGGCGGCCATTCCAACGCTGCGGCTTGTGGAGGTGGCGTCGACCGCCATCACGCAGCGTGGCTGCAGCGCATTATTGGACAGAACAGACGTCACTCTTCGA